TGTTTAGTTAGGTTTGTTTTTTTAAAAAAATAGACTTCTTCTATACTCATAGAACCACCAGTTAAAACAGCATAGAACAAACATCCTACCATGTCTGTTACATGAGGATCTATCTCATTCTTTTTAATGGCTGCATAATATTCAATAGTATGGATTTACCATAATTTATATAATCATTACCAAATTGAGGATATTTGGGTTATCTCCCAGCTTTTCACAATTAAAGTAATGCTGTAGTTAGCATGCTTTTACATTTATTCTTGCATATTTGTTCAAGTATTTTTGATAATTTTCCAGAAGAAAATTGTTGGGTCAAAGTGTATGTACAAAGTACATGCTAATTTGCTTTCTAATTTACCCTAAGAGTGCCCCTTTCCACATCTTCTCTACTACTAGATACTATTTGTCTAACTTTTACCAATTTCTAATTTTAATTTCCTAATCATTAGTGATGTTGAACATCTTTTCATGTGCTTACTAGCCATTTACAATTCTGTAGATTGCCTGATGTTATAGATATTTCTGAGGTTCTTGAGTACAACTATATTTTTTCTAAAAACAGTTGCTGTCATTTGTATTTCTCCAAGATTGTACAAGAGTGCCTTTGTCACTACATATAAAATTGTGATCTCAAAACTTCTCTCTTACTAAACGGTGTTTTGTTAGGCAATTTTCGTTCTGCTCTCAATGATGTGACAGCTGCCAGAAAGCTAAAACCCTGCCACCTCAAAGCAATAATAAGAGGTAAGTCTTGTAGAACTGCAGTATGATTGTCGTTATGGAAAAGCTAGTACTCACTGCACCAAAAAGGTGACATTTAAAGCTTTGATATGAAGGTGCTAGGATACTAATAAAGTCATCTTATTTTTGGAGTCTGGATATTAAGTTCCTGTTCTTTATCAACAGCAACATACCACTTTTAAGAGAATTCCTTAGAGAATGACTTAACCCTTTACGTTTTAAGAATTTGTGGAGAAATAGAAACCTCTCATTTTAAATTAATACATAATAAAATTAATTAAAACAAAGCAGTTACAAAAGCCACATTCTGTTGTTTTTTTTTTTTTTTTTTTTCAAATTAGCTGATTGAAAGGCAAGGTCTTAAATGCCATGTTAATGTTAATTAAAAGATAAGTTATGGGACCTTTGCTGATCACTGTGGTGCTGAGATGTTCCCAGATAATGTTTTCTTTTGTAGTCTGACCTTTCTATGTAATAATAGTGCTTTTATTACTTTTATGCTTCACCTTTTCTTTGAGAAGCTCATAGGTGCTTTGCAAACTTTAATTTATTCATCACATTTTAATCTTCCCTGCATCCCCATGGACCAGTTTAAAATGCTTTATCAAAATTATGCCTTTTTAAATGTTCATGGTTAAGGGTAGCAGGCAGATCCATGTCCCTCAGCTGTAGGAAAAGAAGGTACTGAGCAAAGATTGGCTGATAAATTGAATCTAGGTAGTCTGTGGAATTCGCCTCAGGCTGGAAGTTTGTAATCCTTGATTCAGTTGTTGGTTTAACTTACAATGTGACCTTAGCAAGACACCACTTTGAATATCAATTTGCTCATCTCTGGAAGAGGAGGTTAGATTCTGTTGACATCTAAGCCCTTACAATTCTTATATTTTGAAATTCTGTGGAAAACCTAAAGAGGCTAACTGGAGAAAGATGTACATAATAACATTTAAAGTTTTTTTGTGATGGGGGAAAGGTAGCCATAAAGCACAAAATTAGGAGAGACCTGTTGTCTTTGGCCTTGCCACTGCCTTGATGAGTAGCTGAAGCAAATTCTGCTGTCTCCCTCCATTTAAAAAATCATCTGGGATGGACTTTAATCCTCTTGTTTGCAGATGAACCTAAAGCTTGGATATGCTTTGGTCCTTTGTCTGAGGTCTAGCTGGTAAATGACACAGCCAGATTTCTAGCCTTGATCTATCTGGTTTCAAAGTCTGTTCTCTTTGCCACTAAGTTACAGCTTTTCCTACTTTAAGAGCCCTTAATGCCAGGGAGACGTACAGCAATTTTGAACTAAATGGACCTAAGGGATTTTTCTGATGTAGGATACAAAAAGTATTCTTTGTCTGGGGACTGCAGTATAAGGGCATTATCCTCCATTTTGCCTCCAGGGGGCTGGCTGTTAGTTGGTGGGGGTGGGAGATCTTGCTCAAAGGAGGCTCTTTCTGTGCATATTGTTCTTGGATGCTAAGGGTTCTGGGTTCTACAGGTGCCTTATGCCATCTGGAACTGAAACACTTTGCTGAGGCCGTGAACTGGTGTGATGAAGGACTGCAGATAGATGCCACAGAGAAGAAGCTTCTGGAAGTGAGGGCTAAAGCAGACAAGCTGAAGGTTGGTGACTGTCAGCAGCCGGATTAGTATTTGCTAATTAGCATTAATTAGCATTCCCAAGATTGTGTCTTTCAAGTCATTGTAAACTTTTTAAAATCAAAACCTAAAACTAGTCCCTACTCTTGGAACTCTGTGGAGGACAGAGACAAGTAAACAAACAAACAGTTATAGTGTGATATAGAGGTAAGCAAGGATAGATGGGGTGTATAGCTTAGTACACTCATATGCCATTTAACAGTATTTCATTCAGTGATGGAACACTGCATCTATTACAGTGGTCCCATAAGATTATAAAGTCCTATTTTAACTGTACTTTTTCTGTGTTTAGATATGTTTAGCTACACAGATACTTACCATTGCGTTATAGTTGCCTACAGTATTCAGAGTAGTTATGTGCTATATAGGTTTGTAGCCTGGGTGCAATAGGCTGTACCATATAATCTAGGTATGTAGCAGGCTATACCATCTCAGTTTGTATAAGTACATTCTGTGATGCTTGTACAACAATGATTGTACATTTTTCAGAATGTATTCCCATCAATCTGCATGGGGATATGTCTTATCCAGGGCAAAATTAGATACCATTACTATATACAGTCACAAAACAATATCACATGTTTGGGGCCAGCTAAAGACTCCCAATGTATATTATTTACTCCCATTCCGTAGTATGAACAGTGAAGACAGATCTAACCCAGGAATTAAGAGCCCTTAAGACTAGTTCTGGCTTTCTATTAACAGGTATGTAAGGAAGTATTGCACAGTGGCTAAGAGCTTAGACTCTGGAGCCACTACCTGAATTTGAAGACTCCCTTCATGACAGTTGTGTGACTTGGACAACTTCCTGATCTCCTTGTACTTTAGCTACCTCACTAGTAAAAGGAGAATTAAAATACTTACTACCTTATAGGGCTATTATATAGTTTAGATGGTTTAACATAAGTAATGTTTTTTAAATAGCACCTGGAACATATACAGAGTAAGTGCTATTTAAATGTTGGATATTATTTTGGGTAGTAATGATATTCTGCTATTATTACTGTTTTTATCATCATTTTAGCTATTATATGCTAAAATGCCAGAAATGTCACATATTAGCAATGACCAGGGGTCATTCTAGTCATATGAAATGGTAGAAAAGGTAGATCTCTATGGACCCAGATGGCTCAATAACAGAATTCTGAGCCCAGGTAATTGGGTGTGGCCAGAATTTCTGAAAGTGGCACATACAGGAATGAATGTCTGGAGGATTACTGGGGACAGTCACAATTAAAGGGAGATTTCAAGGGCCAGAAGCCTGATATTAAGCCTAGGTGACACTGCTTGCTGAATAGCTGAATTATTCCCCTATGTCTGAGTACAGATTGATTCTGGATTCCTATGTGCTTGGTATATGTAGCCAACAGACTTGTGGCTATATTAATATCAGACAGAATAGACTTCAAGGTAGCAAGCATTACCAGAGATGAAGTGAAGCTTTTTTTCTTTTTTTTCTTGAGATAGAGTCTTGCTCTATTGCCCAGGCTGGAGTACAGTGGCATGATCATGGCTTACTGCAGCCTTGACCTCCTGGGCTCAACTGATCCTCCTGCCTCAACCTCCTGAGTAGCTTGACCTAAAGTTGTGCACCACCATGCCAGACTAATTTTTTATTTTTTCAATTTGTAAATTTGTAGAGACAGGGTTTCACTATGTTGCCCAGGCTGGTCTCAAACTCTCAGGCTCAACAGTCCTCCTGCCTTAGTCTTCCAAGTGCTGGGATTACAGGCATGAGCTGCTGTGCCCAGCCATTGAAGCATTTTTTAAATGATATAAGGACCAGCTTATATGAATATGTAATGATTCTAAATATGTAGCACCTAGTCACAGCTTCAAAATGCATGACACAAAACTTAACAACTGAAGAAGGAAGAGATAAATTCACAAATAGGTGGAAAGATCAACTCTCTCAGTAATTAATAAAACCAGTATTTAAAAAATAGAGTTGGGTAATGTCAGTAACAGTGGTGGACTAAAGACCTTCAAAAATTTTCTCTTCCATAAAATTGATGAGGAAACTGGCAAAAATGATCAGAATCAACTTTCCTAGGACTGGAAATGAACCAGAGGTTTGCAGCAGTCTGGGCATGTTTATTCAAGAAAAATGATGGAACTTCAGTAAGAACAGCAAGCTTTGTGGCATTTTATTATTTATTTTTATTATTTTGAGACAGAGTCTTGCTCTGTTGCCCAAGCTGGAGTGCAGTGGCATGATCTCGGCTCAGTGCAACCTCTGCCTCCTGGGTTCAAGCGATTCTCCTGCCTCAGCCTCCTGAGTAGCTGGGATTACAAGCATGTGCCATCACACCTGGCTAATTTTTATATTTTTAGTAGAGTTGGTATTTCACCATGTTGGCCTGGCTGGTCTTGAACTCCTGACCTCAGGTCATCCACCTGCCTTGGCCCCCAAAATGCCAGGATTACAGGCATGAGCCGCCATGTCTGGCCCTTTGTGGCATTTTAACTTGCTTTGTTATCTCCTCCTCCCAGTTCCACGGTAGCCTTGAAAGCCAGCAGCCAACAGTCATGGTGAAAATGAGCAGGCTGAAGCCACCAGAGGAGACAGAACAGGGTTAGAGCCCTTTCAAAGCCTTGTCCTCCGAAAACTGTCATGATTTGACCATCTGGTGGATCCCTGGAAGACCATGCTCACAGGGCTGTTTTTATATGACCTGACTTGGAGCTTACCCAGTATGAAAAGCTTTTTTACATAGGGCCAGAAAGTAGGGGGAATGAAAAGGTGGGAGAGAATTTGTCAAAAACAATTAGAGGCGATTGTTAAAGATTGCAGAACCTGAAGCAGTGGATAGCACTTGGAGCAAACAGTAGGCGCATCATAAAGCTTAAAAAGAAAAACTAGGGAATGAAATTCTGTAGGGGCTTTGAAAAGCTCCAGGGGGATCTAGATGGTCACACATGTGCCCAGGGCTATACTCATGCTCAGGAAAGACCTGAGTAGACCCTAAGCTTTCAGAGTCTCTGGAAGCAGGAAGTGAAGGCTAAGGTAGAATTGTAAACTGCTTGGGTGAATGCTAAAAGTGTGCTTCAACATATACACAAAGGCTCTTGACAAAGATTGAAAAACTTATTTGATCTAGATGTTTAGGGAAATCTCTGTCTAGTCATTAGGTAGAGGAAGGCCAGACATGGGACTTACTAGACAAAGACTTTAAACCAGCTAATTTAAATATCTTCTCAGAATGAAAGGAAATTGTGTCTAAAGAACTAAAAAGAAGAATGAGAATGATGTCTTTCCAAATAAAGAATATCAACAAAAAGAAATTACTAAAAAGAACCTAACAGATGTTCTGTAGTTGAAAAGTACATTAACTGAAATGAAGAATTCACTAGAGGGTCTCAACAGCACATTTGAGTAGGCAGTAATAAGAATCATTACACCTAAGATGTATTGGTTGAGATTATCCAGTCTGAAGAACAGAATGAAAAAAGAATAAGGATGAAGAAAGACTTGTACAGTGCCATCAAGCATACCACCAAAGGCATAACGAGGGTCCTGGAAGGAGAGGAGAGAGAGAAATGGACAAAAGAATACTTGGGGAAATATTGGCCAAAAACATCCCAAATTTGATGAAAAACAGTGATGGATACATCCAAAAGTTTAACAAACTACAAGCGGGATAAACTTAAAGTGATCTACATTTAAACACATTGTAATGAAACTGTTGAAAAACAAAGAAGAGAACCTTACAAGCAGCAAGAGAAAAATGATGCTTCATGTACAGAAAATCCTAAAGAAAATTAACAGCTTTTTCATCAGAAACCGTGAAGGCTAAAAGGCAGGTAAATGACACATTCAAAGTGTTAAAAGAAAAAGACTCTAAGAATTCTATATCTAGCAAACCTATTCTTCAAAAATGAAAGCGTGGAAGAGAAGTAGTAGTAAAATCATCTATGTGCAGGCAACATGACCTTTTATATAGAAAATCCTAAGGGAGCCACTAAAATACTATTGGAACTAATAAACAAGTTTAGCAAGCTTGTTGGAAACAACATCAATACACAAAAATCATTTGTATTCTATAGATTTTTAATGAACACTCTGAAAATGAAATTAAGTAAACAATTCAATTTTTAATAACATCAAAAAATGCTTAGGAATACATTTAACAAAAGTAGCTAAAACTTATACCCTGAAAATACAAAAAACATTGTTGAAAGAAATTAAAGACCTAAGTAAATAGGAAGACATTCCATGTTCATAGATTAGATCTTAATATTGTTAGATGGCAACACTACCAAAATTAGTATATCAATTTAGTGCATTTTTTTTTTTTTTTTTGAGACATGATCTTGCTCTGTTGTCCAGGCTGGAGTGCAGTGGCATGGTCATGGCTCACTGCAGTCCCAAAGTCTTGGGTTCAAGCAGCCCTCCTGCCTCAGTCTCTCAAGCAACTGGGACTATAGGCATGTAATGCCACATCTGGCTAATTTCAGTGCAATCTGTATCGAAAGTCCAATTGACTTCTCTGCAGAAATGGACAGGCTGACCATAATATTCATATAGAAATTCAAGGGACTCTGAATAACCAACAATCATGAGAGACAAAAGAAACAGAATTGGAAAACTCACACTTCCCAATTTCAAAACCTATCACAGAGCTACAGTAATCAAGGCATTGTGGTACTAGCGTAAGAACAGACATATAACTCAATGTAATAAAATTGAGAGCTCAGAAATAAACCCTCATTTATGGGGAATTTATTTTCAACAAGTGTGCCAAGGCCATTCAATAGGGAGAGAATCTTTTCAACAAGTGATGGTGGCACAACTGGATATTCACATGTGGAAGAATAAAGCTAGAAACTTACTTCGTACTATATAAAAAAGTTACCCAAAAAAGGATCTAATACCTAAATGTAAGAGCTGAGACTATACAACTCTTAAAACATAGATATAAAGCTTCATGAACTTGGATATGAAACAAACCACAAGCAACAAAAGGAAAAGTAGATCGATTGGACTTCATAAAAAGTAAAACTTTTTGCTTCAAAGGATACCATCAAAAAAGTGAAAAGGTTGAGTTAAGATAAATGTGAAGAAAAAAGTGAAAAGGGGCTGGGTGTAGTGGCTTGCACCTGTAATCCTAGCATTTTAGGAGGCCAAGGCAGGAGGATCACTTGAGGCCAGGAATTCAAGACCAGCCTGGGCAACAAAATGAGACCTTGTCTCTACCTTAAAAAAAAAAAAAAAAAAAAGGGTGAAAAGACAGCCCACAGAATGGAAGAAAATACTTGTAAGTCATAAGTCATAAGGGACTTTTATCTACAATATATAAACAACTCATAATAAGACAAGTAACTCAGTTTTTTAAATGAGCAAAGGATGTGAATAGACTTTTCTTCAGAGACACACAAATGGCCAAAAGCACATGAAAAGATGTTCAACATCATTAATAATTAGGAAATGGAAATCAAAACCACAGTAAGATACCATTTCATACCCACTAGGGTGGTTATAATTTAAAAAAAAAAAAAAAAACCTATAAAGACAGGGTCTCTATCACCCAGGCTGTGTTTCATAGCATTCGGTTCACACCACCAGAGTAGTACATAATCTACCTGTTATACTTGGCCCTTCACTTGCCTGTACCCCTCAACCTCTCAGTAGACTATGAGGTCCTTGGGTACAGGAAGTAGATTTAAATTTCTGCCGGCATGTACTTTGTAAATGTTTATTGAACTGAATCTGACCACTGGTATTCCTTAACACAGGAGCTTGGGTTGAATAGAGACCAGAGATGATAATTTAGGAGCAGGCTGGGGGCAATAGAAGAGGAACTCAGGTCTCTAGAGCTGATGCATCTAAATTTCACTTTTAGAGAATTGAACAGAGGGATGTGAGGAAAGCCAGCTTGAAAGAAAAGAAGGAGAGGAATCAGAATGAGGCTTTACTCCAGGCCATCAAGGTGAGTTCTCAAACCTTCTGTTTTTAGGGTCCTGCTAAATTCACTAATCCTGTGAAGCTTGTTGGGAACCTTTCTTGGGATGCTTTACCTGAAGGAATTTGTTCATGTTCTTTCTACTGTGGTAAAGCAGTGTGACAGAGGAGTCTGTCAGGCCACCCCAGTTCAGTCAGCCTTCTCACTTGTGTGTACGTGTTGGTCTCAGTGACATGTACAGTTGTCTCCGCTTATCTGAGGCAGATGTGTTCCAAGATCCACAATGGATGCCTGAAATCTCAAATAGTACCAAACCTGATTGCCATCAGTTAGAATACATTTCTGTTTGTGTCTTTCACCCACAAATATAATGCCTTTTCCATCTTAGCTAAAGCACTTGTCACATACTGTGGCCATAATTTTTGCAGTTTGAGGTACAACAGCAAAACTAGCATGAATTTCTTTTTCCTTCTTCATAATTTCACAGATAGAAGATTGCTTTTACCATAGATTTTAGCAATTTCAGCATACAATTTTTTTTTAAATTGAGGAGTTTCACCTTTTTACTTAAAGGAGATAGTTTATAGCTTCTATTTGGCATATCCAGATTGCCAGCATCAGTACTCTTGTGCTTTGGGGTCCTTAGTAAGTAAAATGAGTGTTACTTAATACAGGCACTGTGATACTGTGTCAGTGAATCTCATCATTGAGTTGGGTAGTGACTCACTAACAGGTGGGTATCATCAACAGCGTGGATGCACTGGACAAAGGAGCAGAGCCTGTGATTTCATCATATGCTACTCAGAACAGTGCATAATTTAAAACTTAGAGGTTGTTTATTTCTGGAATTTTTGTTTAATTGTTTCAGACCATGGTTGACCACTAGTAACTGAAACTGCAGAAAGCGAAACCGTGGGTAAGGGGACACTACTGTAATGAATACGTACCTGCTTTGGGTTGAGTGTTATTTAACCTTCACAGTGGCCTTCTGAGATAGGTTGTCTTGCTCCTGTTTTGCTGGATTATGAAATAATTTCAGAGAGGTGAAGAAACCTTACACAGTTAGCATGTGTTAGAGCCAGGTTCTTGTTCTAACTGCATTATATTGCATCTTGAGAAAGCCTGACATTTTAGGATGTTGTTCCTATAATAACAACAGCAATAACAAATTGCATCTTGAGAAAGCCTGACATTTTAGGATGTTGTTCCTATAATAACAACAGCAATAACAAAATCCTACCCTCTGTTCTCTTTCCTGTATTTTGAAATATATGTAGTCTGACCCAAATCTTGCTTTAACCTTGTTACCTAGGAAGTCACGTGTTTGAGCTTGTTTGGTCTTCACAAACAAGGAGAGAGAATATCTACTGGGAGACTGTGGGAGAGGTCTTTTGTTTCATTATTTGTTCAGTTAAATTATGCACCCATTTAAGTTCTGTAAGAATCTTAACACTGCCAAAATGTACTCCACTATTCTCTCCCCACAACGATCTGTTTACATATATTATCACATTAAACAGATTAAAATACTCCAGATTTTCCATCTAATTCTCATTCACAGTGAGGGATTTGTTCGTTTTCTTAAATGTAGAATACGGGATGCCCAGACACCCAGACATTTGCATACATACTTTTTTTTTTTTTTTTTTGATCTCTCCTTTAGTGTAATCCTTCATCTCAAACTTAACATACATAGGAATTACTCTTTTAACAGTGCACAGAGCCGTGTATGCTGTATTTTACTAATGGCTTAAGGGAGGAGTCAGCAAACTGCAGCCATTGGAACACAGCCCTGCCTATTTGTTTATGTACTACTTATGGCTGTTTTCACACTACAGTGGCAGAGTTGGGTAGTTAATTTTGACAGAGACCATTGTCCAGAACTCTTAAAATATTTCTTATCTAATGCTTTAAGAAAAAGTTTGCCAACCTGCAATTTAGGGGATATCATCAAATCTAATTTTGATTGCATGTCATTTCCCCTCATGTGCTAACCTTAGGAACCCCTGCACACATATGTAAGAGGTGACCCTATTATTTCAGACTCTTGATTTATGCCCATCTATAAGAGACAGTCAAGAATCAGTCAGTGCACATTCTTTCTAGCATACTCCATGTCCCAGCTAAACTGAAGCATTTGACATTTCTGCACAGGCTTCCTTCTTGATCTTTTCTATGCTTTTGCACATGCTGCTCCTTGGAGTGGAATGTTCTTCCTCCCTTTTAGGTGCCCCTCCCTTCCAACTTCTCTGCTTTTAAAAGTCATTGTTCAAGGCCTAGCATAGCTCAGTCACCTCCAGCCCCCAGGCTGAATTAATTATTCCATGGTCTGCAGTTCCACAGTTCTACTTCTTACTTTATATTGTCATTATTTCCATAGCTGTCTCACCACTTGATATTGAGCAGAGGCTTGAGGGCAGGTAACCATGTCTAGTTCTCTGTGACAGGGTCCAGCACAAGATAGATGCCCAATGAAAGTGAGTTAAGTAAGCGGTACCTACTATGTACCAGGCCTCAGGAATAATGAAGATGGATTATGTGTAGAGCTGGCCCTCAAGGAGCTCGCATTGTTGTGGTTTGTTTTTTTTAACTTTTGGTGTATTAAAGTTAGTTGTCCATGTTCATTCAGGGTACAGATGGAGAAAATTAAATTAAAACTAAAGTTAGTCGTGCAGCCTGGACAATATAGTGAAACTCCATTTCTACAAAAAATAAAAATAAATATAAAAAAAAATTAGCCAGGTGTTATTTATTTTTTTTATTTCAGTAAAATGGGTTTGCGTCTTCCCACACAATAAGGTGTGCATTATGTGTGTTTCTGTCTTCAATCCAGGCTAGGAATATCAGGCTCTCTGAAGGTGCCTGTGAGGATGAAGATTCAGCCTCAGAAGGTCTAGGTGAGCTTTTCCTGGATGGACTCAGCTCTGAGAACCCCCATGGGGCCAGGCTGAGTCTAGATGACCAGGGCAGGCTGAGCTGGCCTGTGCTCTTTCTGTACCCAGAGTATGCCCAGTCGGACTTCATCTCTGCTTTTCATGAGGACTCCAGGTACTGACTTGCCCAGGAGCCCTCTGCTTTTGCTTGCATGCCTTCTCTGTTTTTGTGGCAGTAGGACAAGTGGGTTTTTGGTTGAGAAGGGAAGATAATAGTTTATAGGGTTTCACACAATCTGGCTTGATAATAACATCTCTCTCCTATAGCTGACTGAACCTTGACTAAGTAGGTTTGCAATGACAGACAAAAGTCTCATCGTCATGTCGCAGTGTTGTGTTTGCCAAAGAGTGGTACACATCACCGGTGAAATATGAAGTCATTTTAGGCAGTACATGCATAGCAATTTAAGTGAATATTAGAAAAAAATATAGAGGCCGGGTGCTGTGGCTCACATCTGTAATCCCAGCACTTTGGGAGGCCAAGATGGGTGGATTACTTGAGGCCAGGAGTTTGAGACCAGCCTGGCCAACATGGTGAAACCCTGTCTCTACTAAAAATAAAAAAAACTATCCAGGCATCTGTAATCTCAGCTACTTAGGAGGCTGAGGCATGAGAATTGCTTGAACCTAGGAGGTAGAGGTTGCAGTGAGCTGAAATTGCACCACTGTACTCCAGCCTGGGCGACAGAGCAAGACTCTGTCTCAAATATGTATACATATATATAAAACTAGCCAACTTAATTGGTGATTTCTTAGGGTTAACACATAGAATGAGGCTAAGTGTAAGAAAATATTTTTGTAATTTTTTTTTTGAGACCAGGTCTTGCTCTGTCACCCAGGCTGGAGTGCATTGGCATGATTATGGCTCATCACAGCCTCCATCTCCCAGGCTCAGGTGATCCTCCTGCCTCAGCCTCTCAAGTAGCTGGAATCACAGGTGAACACTACCACATCTGGGTAATTTTTAAATTCTTTGGTAGACACAGAATCTCTCTATGTTGCCAGCCTTGTCTTGAACTCTGGGGCTCAAATGAGCCTCCCACATTGGCCTCTGAAAGTGCTGGAATTATATAGGCGTGAGCCAGAAATGTTTTTAAGCCTGAATCGGTTTTTAAAAAATTATGTCCACCCAGCACGGTGGCTCATGCCTGTAATCCCAGCACTTTGGGAAGCCAAGGCAGGCGGATCACTTGAGACCAGGAGTTCAAGACCAAGCTGGCCAATATGGCAAAATCCTGTGTCTACTAAAAATATGAAAAAATTAGCCAGGTGTGGTGATGCATGCCTGTAGTCCCAGTTGCCTGGAGGCTGAGGCACGAGAATCGCTTGAACCTGGGAAGTGGAGGTTACAGTGAGCAGAGATTGTGCCACTGCACTGCAGTCTGTGTGACAGAGTGAGACTTTGTCTCAAGAAAAAGAAAAAAGAGAGAGAGATATTCTGTCAGTCAGGTGCCGTGGCTCACATCTGTAATCCCAATACTTTGGGAGGCTGAGGCCAGAGGATCATTTGAGCCCAGGAGTTTAAGACCATCCTGGGTAACATAGTGAGACCCGCTGTCTCTACAAAAAAAAGAAAAAAAGCCAGGCATGGTGGCATGTGCCTGTAGTCCCAGCTATGCAGGAGGCTGTGGTAGAGGAATTGCTTGAGCCCGGGAAGTCAAGGCTACAGTGAGTTGTTGTCACACCACCGTGCTCTAGCCAGGGTGACAGAGCGAGACCCTGTCTCCCCCCCTCAAAAAAGAAAGAAAATTATGTCATAATAGGACAAGTGATACATATACACATTTTGGCTACTGCTGTGAAATGGGTTAAGCATGCGTTTCATGTTTTATACGTTCTAGATATCTCTGAATGAGTGTCTGGGGACTGATGTGGGAAAATAGATCATGAGTTATTGATACCCAGAAAGTACATGTTTTATCCTTAGGTTTTTTGATCATCTAATGGTGATGTTTGGTGAAACACCCTCTTGGGACCTAGAGCAAAAATATTGCCCTGATAATTTGGAGGTAAGAGAACTTTTATTTTGTTCCTCTATGGAATTTTTTTTTTTTTTTTT